TGTTTAGAAATACGCAATCGCTTTGAGTCCTTTCCCCTAGCATGGAAGACGAAGAGCAGACTCCATTTGAGGATCTCTCCCTCATTACAGTCGATCAGGTATATGAAGACGAGGAGCAAAGGCAGTCCTCTGGGAATGTCCAGGCGACCTTGGAACCGACAGCTCACAGAAGAACCCCGACCAGACCTAAGAGGAGGCGTGTAGTGGTGATAGGGGATTCCCTACTGAGGGGAACAGAAGCAGTGATCTGTGGGCCTGACAAGATGTCTCGGGAAGTGTGCTGTCTCCCCGGGGCTAAGATCCAAGATGTAACTGAACGACTGCAAGGAATCATAAAACCCACTGACAAATACCCCTTCCTCTTGGTTCATGTGGGAACCAATGACACTGCAAGCAATAGCCTCCAGAAGATCAAAAGAGATTACGAGGCTCTGGGCAGGAAATTGAAGCAATTAAATGCACAAATTGTCATCTCATCTGTCCTCCCAGTTGAACGACGTGGCCCAGGGAGAGAGGGAAAAATAGTGGAAGTGAACAACTGGCTTCGCAAATGGTGCAAACAGGAACGGTTTGGATTCTTAGATCACGGAATGCAGTTTCTTGAAGATGGACTTCTGGCAAGCGATGGGCTGCACCTCACAACGGTTGGGAGGAATGTTTTTGCAAAAAATCTCAGAAACCTCATCAGGAGGGCTTTAAACTGACTAATGTGGGGGAGGGAGACAGTGCTCCTGAAGGTAGGAGTCTATCAATTGATGAAGATGATCATCCAAATGTCATAGACCGAATGGAGCAAAGAGCATGCAGACCTAGTGGTGGGAGGAGAAAATCCTTAAATAAGAGACACGGGGGAATGATTAATGGACTTCAATGTCTGTACACTAATGCGCAAAGCATGGGAAATAAACAAGATGAGCTTGAGCTCCTGGTACAGCAAACTAAATATGACATAATAGGAATCACTGAAACCTGGTGGGATAAATCCCACGATTGGAATGTAATAATGGAGGGATACAATCTATTTCAAAGAAACAGACCAGACAAGAAAGGAGGAGGAGTGGCGTTATATGTCAGGGATGTGTATACCTGTGAAGAGATCCAAGATTTAGAACCTCAAAGCCAAAGTGAGAGCATTTGGGTCAAAATTAAGGGAGAGAAGAATAACAGTGACCTCATTGTGGGAGTTTACTATAGATCCCCAAGCCAAACGGAGGACATAGATGATGCCTTCCTGGAACAGATGGCCAAGCATGCAAAAGGAAGGGAGATAGTAGTAATGGGGGACTTCAATTACCCGGATATTTGTTGGATGTCAAACTCAGCCAAGAGCATAAGGTCAAACAGATTCCTCACTGCCCTTGCAGACAACTTCATTGTCCAGAAAGTGGGAGAAGGAACAAGAGGAACAGCCATTTTAGATCTGGTCCTAACCAATGTTGATGACCTGGTTAGTGGGGTAGAAGTGGAAGGATCATTAGGCGCGAGTGATCATGCTCTTCTGAAGTTTACTATACAGCGGAAAGGAGCAGCCAAGCATACTAGGACTCAATTTCTCGACTTTAAGAAAGCCAACTTCATAAAGCTTAGGGAAGTGCTGGGTGAGATCCCATGGACAGTAATACTAAAAGGAAAGGGAGTTCAAGATGGCTGGGAGTTTGTTAAGAGGGAGATAGTAAAAGCACAACTTCAGGCAATACCAATGAGACGGAAACATGGAAGGTGCCTAAAGAAGCCAGGGTGGCTATCTAAAGAACTTTTAACTGAGTTAAGATTAAAAAAGGATGTGTACAAAAAATGGAAAAGGGGGGAAACCACCAAAGAGGAATTCAAACAAATAGCCAGCACGTGTAGACACAAAGTCAGGAAAGCTAAAGCACAGAATGAACTCAGGCTTGCTAGAGAGGTTAAAAGCAACAAAAAAGGCTTTTATGGGTATGTTCGTAGCAAAAGGAAGAACAAAGAAACCGTGGGGTCACTCAGAGGAGAAGATGGTGAAATGCAAACAGGGGACACAGAAAGGGCTGAACTCCTCAATGCCTTCTTTGCCTCAGTCTTCTCCGATAAAGAAAACAATGCCCGACCTGAAGAATTTGGAGCAAATGATTCAGCAGAGGAAACACAGCCCAGAATAACTAAGGAGATAGTACAAGAATACTTGGCTAGTCTAGATGTATTCAAGTCTCCAGGGCCAGATGAACTGCATCCAAGAGTATTAAAAGAACTGGCAGATGTGATTTCAGAACCACTGGCAGTCATCTTTGAGAATTCCTGGAGAACAGGCGAAGTCCCGGCAGACTGGAGGAGGGCAAATGTTGTCCCTATTTTCAAAAAGGGGAAAAGAGAGGACCCAAATAATTACCGCCCAGTCAGTCTGACATCAATACCAGGGAAGATTCTGGAGCAGATCATTAAGCAAACAGTCTGTGAGCACCTAGAAAGGAATGCTGTGATCACCAATAGTCAGCATGGATTTCTGAAAAATAAGTCATGTCAGACTAACCTGATCTCGTTTTTTGACAGAATTACAAGCCTGGTAGATGAAGGGAACGCAGTGGATGTAGTCTACCTTGATTTCAGCAAGGCATTTGACAAGGTGCCCCATGATATTCTTGTAAAGAAGCTGGTAAAATGCGGTCTTGACTATGCTACCACTCAGTGGATTTGTAACTGGCTGACTGACCGAACCCAAAGGGTGCTCATCAATGGTTCCTCTTCATCCTGGAGAAGAGTGACTAGTGGGGTGCCACAGGGTTCTGTCTTGGGCCCGGTCTTATTCAACATCTTTATCAACGACTTGGATGATGGACTCAAGGGCATCCTGATCAAATTTGCAGATGACACCAAACTGGGAGCGGTGGCTAACACCCCAGAGGACAGGATCACACTGCAAAACGACCTTGACAGATTAGAGAACTGGGCCAAAACAAACAAGATGAATTTTAACAGGGAGAAATGTAAAGTATTGCACTTGGGCAAAAAAAATGAGAGGCACAAATACAAGATGGGTGACACCTGGCTTGAGAGCAGTACATGTGAAAAGGATCTAGGAGTCTTGGTTGACCACAAACTTGACATGAGCCAACAGTGTGACGCGGCAGCTAAAAAAGCCAATGCAATTCTGGGCCTCATCAATAGGAGTATAGCATCTAGATCAAGGGAAGTAATAGTGCCACTGTATTCTGCTCTGGTCAGACCTCACCTGGAGTACTGTGTCCAGTTCTGGGCACCACAGTTCAAGAAGGACACTGACAAACTGGAACGTGTCCAGAGGAGGGCAACCAAAATGGTCAAAGGCCTGGAAATGATGCCTTATGAGGAACGGCTAAGGGAGCTGGGCATGTTTAGCCTGGAGAAGAGGAGGTTAAGGGGTGATATGATAGCCATGTTCAAATATATAAAAGGATGTCACATAGAGGAGGGAGAAAGGCTGTTTTCTGCTGCTCCAGAGAAGCGGACACGGAGCAATGGATCCAAACTACAAGAAAGAAGATTCCACCTAAACATTAGGAAGAACTTCCTGACAGTAAGAGCTGTTCGACAGTGGAATTTGCTGCCAAGGAGTGTGGTGGAGTCTCCTTCTTTGGAGGTCTTTAAGCAGAGGCTTGACAACCATATGTCAGGAGTGCTCTGATGGTGTTTCCTGCTTGGCAGGGGGTTGGACTCGATGGCCCTTGTGGTCTCTTCCAACTCTATGATTCTATGATTCTATGATTCTAAAGCAACTCGCCATTGAATGATGATGATGATGATGATGATGATGATGATGATGATTAACTTCATGGTGAACCTAATTTGCCCTTTCTAGATGATCCTGAGGGTCACTTCCAGCTCTAAAATTCTTTGATTCTATACATGTATTCATGAAAATTACATTATATTATAGGAAGCTGCTTTGTAAAAATGTGCATGTTAGGCAAAATTACGTATTAAAATGTGTGTCTTAGGATAAATTCACACTAAAGTGCTGATTAATTTTCATGAAGGCTTTTTTGGGGGTGGGGAGGAAAGCGATATGGAAATGTGGAGAACTGAACTGGGAAAGTGAGAAACAGAGAGAGAGAAACCAAAACTGACACGTTCACCCATTGCTACTTCCGGTTACAATTTGTGAAGCTGGGTGGTGGGGTGAGCAGGTGTGGCACAGCTGTCAGGAATTTTTGACTCGCCAGCTGATGGGTTCAAATTATAGATACTAGCCTTTCCAACTATTATTTCCAACATCTCTAATGATAGTATAACTGATCATGATCACAATAATGCTTTTATTTGTCTTCAGAAATTTGACATGACTATTACACACGCTATTCATGTGGAAGTTTATTGCCATACTGGGCAGAACTGGACGTGGATGCAGAATCAAAGGATGTGTCCTTTTCAGAACCGTGAGTTTAAAGTGCCTACATTTCTTGATGCGATGCACTGTGCTATCTTTTTGGACCATATAACAAGGTTCCTTCCAGATGTTGCTGGACTACAGCTCCCCTTGTCCCATGCTAGCTCAGACGGATGGGAGTTTGAGTCCATCAACATTTAGAGGGTACCATGTTGACTACTCTGATATCATGCCTTTACCTATTCACTGCACCTGAGCTCCCATTTGACAGCTTCTACACAGCCAGTTTGTTGTTCAGCTGTGGATAATAGGTCATGAGTCCATCTCAGGGCAAATAATCTTGCCTGGATGGAAGCCATTGTGATGCTTCACAATCCATTGTAATGCACAGGCACCCACTGGGCAGCTATAACCCCAAACTGTCCTTGAAACCCAATCCCAAATATATATTCACACACACAACCAAGGCTGTGCCCTGCCTTGGTTCACATGGTCAAATCTGGGGATTGAGCTCTATGCATCTACCCTCAGCCCCTTTGCTCCAGCTTTGATCCTCCTTTGCACAGACCAGAAAGCATGGTTACATGAAAACTGGGAACTATGGTTAATGGCTTCCAAACAATCCAGATCTAGAAACCAGCTTTGTAGCAGGGTATAAAAGTTGGTTTCCAAATTCTGGCTTGTTTAGAAGCCAATAGCCGTACTTCTCCAATTAGCACATAACAAGAAGCCATTGTTTTACTGCAGGTTCTGGGTTTGTTTCATTACTTGGGTGGTGGAAGGAGTAAAGTGGCAGCAACTGGACTATGTGTGGGTGCAAGTTAGTTGTGCAGATCCCTGTAGAAGGGCTGTAACCCATTGGTATAGCATAGACCTTGGATGCAGAAGGTCACATCTCCAAATAGAACTGGGAGAGACACTTGCCTGAAAGCCAAACCACTGCCAATCAGTGTGGAAAATACTGAGCTAAGTGGACCAATGGTCTGTCTCAGAATAAGGCTGCTCTCTGTGTTCCTGTATTATTAAATTTGATTGTGTGAATGCAGTTGCTGTTTGTGTACCTTCATAAGGAGAAAGACACGTGGCAAGCAACAGCCCCATGCACCTAAACCCTAATGAGCGATGAATCATTAGCATCATAGAATTTTAGAGTTGGAAAGGACCCAGAAGACCATCTCATCCAACCTCCTGCAATGCAGGAATCACAACTAAAGAACCCATGGCAGATGGCCACCCCTCCTCTGTTTAGAAGCCTCCAATGAACAAGAGTCCACCACCTTCCAAGTAGCACCAAAATAAGGTTGCAAAGAAGAGATGCTTTATTTGTAACTAACTTGACATTAGCAGTCATCAAGGTCAGGAAAGGACAATGTGTGTGTACCAAGTCCATATGACTTAGAATGGGCCAAAGATAAGAGTAGGGCTGAGCCCAACCACATCTTCCCTCTTGTCATTTCATGTAGTATCTTATCCTGCCATCAGATCTCCTGTTCTTGGGCGTCAAACTGACAGTAAATGAGACAGACAAGATACTATGGTCAGGGTGGAGGAACTTCTGATTATCAGCCGCAACAAACCCAATAAACTTACTCCTGTTATGGCTGTGACTCCTTTAAGATGGACTCCACTGGCCCCTAGACATGCAACAACAAGCGTTCAGCTCTTTCATTTCCTAGCTGGGCAGGGCTCTTTTGCCAAAGAATATGTAGTTATTGGCTATGTTCTATGCCCACTGTCAGTGGACGTAATGCCTCTGAATACCAGTTGCTGGAAGCCACAGGAGGGAAGGGTGCTCTTCTGCTCAGGTTCTGCTTTTGGGCTTCCCACAGGCATCTGGTTGGCCACTGTAAAAATAGGATGCAGGACTAGATGGACTAGTGGCCTGATTCAGCAGGACTTTTCTTATGTTTAACTCTACACATTTTATTGGCGTTTTTCTTTATCTCATTGTAATTCTATCTGCTGTCCACCACCCTGCTGTGTTTTTTAAAAAATAAAAATGTGGTCTATAAATTATTTTCATAAATAAACATTAAGTCAAAAGGGAGAGCAATGTAAATGGTAAACGTCTCTCTCTACCACCCCCTTCCCCTATAGCTGTTACAGCTGTGACTCCTGCAAAGGGACCCACCCCCAACAGAAACAGAGGGAATGTGGCATTGGTTCCTGACTGTGCAGCAACAAACACTTGGTTATTTCAGTTCCCCTACCTGCAAAGAGGGGACGTGGGTGGCGCTGTGGGTAAAACCTCAGCGCCTAGGACTTGCCAATCGTCAGCGGGAAGGTAAACGGCGTTTCCGTGTGCTGCGCTGGCTCGCCAGATGCAGCTTGTCACGCTGGCCACGTGACCCGGAAATGTCTCCGGACAGCGCTGGCCCCCGGCCTCTTAAGTGAGATGGGCGCACAACCCTAGAGTCGGACACGACTGGCCCGTACGGGCAGGGGTACCTTTACCTTTACCTGCAAAGATGTTCCATTTATTGTTCCTCCAGTAGTGAGTGACAGGTGTAAGTTAGATGGGAGGACAATGTGGTTTGTCTCACTGCAGGCCTTGTAGCTGTGATCAGGGGCAGGGGAAGGGGGTGCAGTAGGGGCAGTTCTCTCTGGGTGTCACCACTGAGGGGCATGGCAAAATGCCGGGTGGTACTCACCGTGGGACCTGTAGTGCGCCTTAGCCACACGTCTCTCCTGGGAGAGATGTGGTGGCTTGGGCGAGCGCAGGCTCCCCGCTGCCCAAATGGTCCGCCCGCCACCTGCCCCTCAGCTGTAGGGCGGCTGAGTGGGAGGAGGACCCTTGGGGGCCCTGTGAAGTGCCCTGCCCTGGTTCGCTCCTCCCCGCAGGCAGCTGGCCCCACCTGGGCTTGCTCCACCACTGGCTGTGATTTTCTATCTGTGAGATAGTCATGCAGAGAAGAGTGGAGCAAGGCCCGTTTTCACTGAGAGATTGAGGCTTACTGCTACAACAGACTGTGCTACAAGGATTGGGAAACTGTGGACTCCAACCTCCATCATCCCAAGCCAAGATAGCCAATGACTGAGTATTATGAATATTGTAACTTAACAACAACATATGGAGTGTTGTAGGTTCATTCAGTTCAGCTTGCATTTTAATGCAAGCCTACCCAAAACAAGGGAAGTAATAGTATCGTTCTATCCTGCCTTAGACCACACCTGGAGTACTGTGTCTAGTTTTGGGCGCCACCATTTATGAGGGATATTGACATGCTTGAACATCTACAGAGGAGGGCAACCAAGATTATAAAGGGTCTAGAAACCAAGACTTGTGAGGGAGGTTGAGGGAGCTGAGTATGTTTAGCCTGGGAAAGAGGAGACTGAGAGGGGAGCCATTTTAAAATATCTACAGGGTGTCACATGGAGGATGGAACAAGCTTGTTTTCTCATTTCTTCAGGAGCTAGGACTTGAATCAGTGGCTTCAAGTTACAAGAAAGGTGATTCTGACTAAACATAGGAAGAACTTTCTGATGGTATGAGCTGTTGGACAGTAGAATGGACTCCCATGGGAGGAGGTGGACTCTCCTTCCTTGGAGGTCTTTAAGCAAAGGTTGAAGGGTCATCTGTCATGTATGATCTAGTTGAGAGTCATGCATTGCAGGAGATTGGACTAGTTGACCCAGAGGTCCCTTCCAACTCTACAATTCTATGTTTCTATGATTCTGTGTAGCAAACCTTAGAAATTTGTACTTCTCCACATTTTGAGATGCAGTTCTCAACCCCCTAGAAATGCATTAAACTGTGTATATTAGTAGAAAAGGTGCATAAAAACACATTAAAAAGAGAATATTTTATAGTCTTAGCAAACTGCTTTAAGGTTTCATTTACAGTTAAGTGATATACAATTTTTTCTTAAATTGCATGCGTGTTTGAAAATAACACAAAATGCATTGCATTAGGGGAAACTGCAAAAATGTATGTATTAGGGGGAATTGTATGTGGCAATGCATACTGTATCGTAGGAGAAATGCACACTTAATTGCTAGCAGATTTTTGTGAGGAGGATTTTTTTCTAATGCAAATTGACGTGGAACTGTTTTGAGCTGAGTTGAAGATTAGAAAAAGGAGAAACTGAGAAGAACTGAAATTGAAAGATTCATCCATCGCTACCTTTGGCTAAGGCACACAGTAGAGGCTTAAAATGCTGCATTTCATGTTGTGAGTTGCATGCTGTTCTATACACTAGAGAGTCTTCACCTGGTGCACATTACCTGTTGGATTTCCCTGCCCCTGCACCCCCCTGAACTGTCAATCATGAAGGTGTCATCTGCACGTGTGCAATGCCTGTCTCAAATGCACACACGTCAGCTTAACTGCCAAGCGGGTGTGGCTCAAGTTTTCCTTTCAGATTGAAGCTGGTTTCAGAGAAAAGGCACCAAACAACATCATTTCTCAAGAAGTGACAGGATAGCTCTGTGTTGCGGGTAACTTCATGTGTAGACAGATTCAAAAGTCAGCAGTGGAAGAGCACTGGAACCACAGCAAATGTTAATGTGTACCCAGCTCAGCAGTTTTGTTGTTAATGTTACCTGCTGGTCCTCTCTTGTTGTCTTTAGTTCGACTGCGGTCTCCTTGCAACGTCCAAATGGAAAATGACGAGAAGCTTTCCTACAATTTAACTTGGAAGCTCTGTGCTCTCTCACATTATTTAGAAAATGAGGTGGAGTACCAAATACGATATAAAAAAATAGATCCTAGCAAGGTGAGTGTGAAGAGACATCTATATGGATGGTAAAGATTTGATCTGGTTTATTCTTTTGTAGAAGACAGGGGTGCCTGGGAAGACAGGAGTGCCTGGCGTGCTCTGGTCCATGGGGTCACGAAGAGTTGGACACGACTAAACGACTAAACAACAACAACAATTCTTTTGTAGTCCACTTTCCTTTCCTTTCCTTTCCTTGGACCCAGAAAGCCATTTTAATACAAGATCCAAAACAATAAAGTGATACATTTTAGAGGTGCAGCAGAAATGCTACTTTCTCTTGAGAAAGCAGGGGCACCAACTATACCTTCCGCCCCCTCAATATTGGTGGGTAGGGGACTGACACACACACCCCAATTTTGAGGGGGCTGACATCTCCTGCCACAGCCAGGCACCCTCTGCGTTCCTCAGCCCCTACCTGGGAGCTCAGGAGCTGGGTGGGGGCTGGAACGAGCAAAGGCAAAGATTGCCCTCCATGTGTCCTGCCCCCACCCGGCACATGCTGGGTGACATCATGTGACACGTCACATGGCTGGGCCCCCTCAATGTGGGGGGCAAGTCGGTGCCCCTGTGAGAAAGTGAAGTATTTATTGGTTAGCTGCCCATACCTTTTGTCTTAGAAGTTAAGTAGAAGGTCAAAGCGCCTGCCAACCTAGCAGTTCGAAAGCACCTTCGGGTGCAAGTAGATAAATAGGGACCGCTTACCAGCGGGAAGGTAAACGGCGTTCCGTGTGCTGCGCTGGCTCGCCAGATGCAGCTTGTCACGCTGGCCACGTGACCCGGAAGTGTCTGCGGACAGCGCTGGCTCCCGGCCTATAGAGTAAGATGGGCGCACAACCCTAGAGTCTGTCAAGACTGGCCCATACGGGCAGGGGTACCTTTACCTTTAGAAGGTCAAAGAAGTCAGGCTCTCATGCCTCAATCAGTTGATCATCCCTAACGGAACAGATCAAGATAATCACTGAGTGTGTGTCCATATAGAGATTAAGGAATTGTTGGGCAGATCCCAGTACAATACCTCAAGGAACACCTCTCTCCATATGAACCCACCCAGACCCTGAGATCATTATCTGAGGCCCTTCTACGGGTGCCTCCTCTTTGAGAGGTCTGGAGGGTGGCAACACAAGAACAGGAGTTTTCTGCAGTGGCTCCCCATTTGTGGAATGCTCTCCCCAGGGAGATTTGCTTCGCACCTTAATTATACACTTTGAGGTGCCAGGTGAAAACATTCCCCTTCAACCAGGCTTTGGGCTGAGTGACATCCAATGCCCTTTTAAATGTGTCGTGGAAGGAGGGGATTATTGGTTTGTTGCTGTTTTTATATTTATCATGTATTTTGCAGTTTGTATAGTGTATTTTTATGTTGTGAAGCACCCTGAGATCGACAGATGCTATACAAATTTAATGTAATAGTAGTAGTAATGGATACAGCATTTGGGACTTCGTCATTTAGAGAAAGGTGAGCTAGAGGAGATACGGTAGAGGTATATAAAAACTCTGCTTGGTGCAAAAAAAAAAGTGGATTGTGAAAAGTTTCTCTGCCCTCTAATAACATTAGAATTTGGGAACATCCAATGAAGCTGATTGTTGGAAGATTCATAATTACTCAAGAAAATGCTTATTTACAGAGTGCATAATTATACTACGGAATTCAGTCCCAAGAAGTAGTAGTGATGGCCACCAACTTAGATTACTTTAAGGGAGGCTTAGATAAGTTCATGGAGGATAAAGCAATCAGTGGCTACTACCCATGAACTACATCCACTGCCAGATGAGAACAGAATGCTGGACTAGATGGGTTCTCCTTACGTTCTTCTAGAGGGCAGCAATGCACAAACATGTAGTGCATAATCAAGGCGTGCACACAGTCTGAAATCATTCCCCACCTTTGACTCCATCTTGCAGGCTTACATAATCGGCTCCAATATTCAGGATCAGAGGTGGATGAAATTTGAGACTCTTTCTCCTGACACAATGTATGAGGCCGCTGTTCGTGTGAAGGTAAAAAAGAGCACGGCTCTTTACAATAGCACATGGAGCAAATGGAGCATGCCTGTAACATGGACGACCCATAAAGGTAAGGCTCACAGAACAAAACCTGTAGGATACTTGAAAAATGGGACAGATAAGGACCCCAAAGCCTTTATAAATTTGGGGATGGGGTGGACTTAGTGTCAAACAGGCTCTGAGCATGTAATCAGGGGTGTATCTATGTACTGGAGCACGGGGTGGAAATCTTCAAGAAAAGCATATACTTTCTACCCTGACTGGATCTACACAGCTATTTAAAAAACGCTATGAAAACACTCTGAAAAAAATACTTTTTAAACTTCTCACAATGGAAAATATTGAGTTGAGATTTCAGTTCTGCAGCGCCATCTGGTGCCTCTGTGATATAACACATTTATAACGTCGTAATTTGACTAATGTAGCTGTCAGTGTAAAAACATCTTGCATTATCAGAGGCCTTTGCACATACAGCCTGCCACTCTAGGAATGAGCAAATCGAGCTATTTTTAGCTGATGTTAATTTCACATGAGATCACCCATAAGTCTGTTCAGTCTCATTCAGACATTAATTTGAGATACTGCATTTTTTTAAAAAAAACTGCATGAAGATTCACGCTTAAAAGTGTAATTTTATACATTTCCCCCCACCCTTCAGAGTATGCATTTCCAAACCTTTCTGATCCTTGTAGGTTGCAGGCCTGAGCATACTTACTACAGCAAGGTTGTCTACATGGGGCCACTGAGTCTCCCCTTGCTGAAATTAAGTATTAAAAAAAAAAACCCTTCTGTGGTTGCCCATAAAATAGGATGCAGCAGTCAGGGGTGATGAGAGTTGTAGTCCAGCAACATTGGCAGGCCACAGGTCCCCCATTCCTATTCTAAAGGTACGGTTTTTAGGCCCTTCTCATTTTTTTTTCTTGTTGTACATATCTGCTTTTAATCTGGAAGCCATCATGGGACACTTTAGAGGTTATCAAGGTGTGTGTTCGCAAGGGGAGAGCAACAAAATAAAAGTGCAAATGTTATTTGCTATTAATTATTCAAGGGAGCACTAAAAAAAGTGCTTCAGCCACCCATATATAAATATCCCCTTCCACTTTTTTTTGTTGAATGGAGACCAACACTTGCAGGGGTGCATTGAGTTGCACACACTTAAATCCATGCACTCCATCTGAGGATGAAGGCTGAGCCAAAATTTCCCAGAAAACATTTTTTCTTTTCTTTTTTAAATAATTTTTATTAAATTTCCATTTTAACAACCCAATCAAATCACATTAAGTATTCCGAATTATACAAATACATATCATATAGTCCAAATATTCTGCCAAATTTCAAATTTTAAATTCAGAAAACATTTTTTTCAGAGGAAAATTCTGAGATTGTGCTCTCTCTTTTCTAACCCCTTAGAGAAAATAATGCCACTTTGCAGAACTTTTTCTGAATATTCTCCACTGTAGGTGTGTGTGTGTGTGTGTGTGTGTGAATGCCAACCATTCCACCTCCCTTCTTCCCTCACAATTCCCTGGAATGACAATAGTCTGGGACACTGTGGAGGTTGTAGGAAAGGGGCTAGCCTGACAACACAGTTGCAGCACCACATTCAAAAAGAATCTTAGGAAACAAGCACTGCTAAGAACCAACCCTGGGCTGGTGAATTTCTCCCACACCTGGAGAAATTCTGTATCTCTGCACACCAATAGGGTGGATAATTTTAAGAGGCAATTTGTATACACCTGTTCCTTTGGTTCAGATGGGAATCAACTGTCTTCAATGAATGGCTAATTCATCCTCTTTGTAGGGGATGCATCGTCTCCAAGTCTGCTCCTGACAGTTCTTCTCACCCTTTTGGGGAGTCTCGTCTTCATCTTCCCCATCTTCATCGCCATTTTCCTGAGGGGCAAATCACCGGCATCAAAACGGTAACAGGGAACAGAGATCTTGCTTCCATACTCTGCCATACAGGGACACTAGCCATGTTTCCTTAGCCAACAGCTAAACTGTGATAATGGTCACTTCTGCATGTGCTGGGAATGAGGTGGTAGAATGGGCTGTAGCTTCTGACTGCAGCTGGAAGAATCCACTTTTAATGATCCTTGATGTAAGCACTTCCTAAGCAGAAAATTAGCTGAGCAAGGAAAGGACTCATCTTGAACCTTTCTCCCCTAGGCTTTAGTTTTCTTCGTGCAAGGAGTTTTCTTCTGAAGGGGAATCTTCAGACATGATACCCACCCACACCTGCAGTCTGAAGGAGTACAGTCTGTCTTCTCCACTGCCTCATGTTTCTACCTACCGCTGCACTCTGCTGAATGGGCAGAACCAGCCTGAAAAATGGCATCAGGGTTTTCTCTGGATTTTTGAGACCTAAGTCAGAAATCTCACATGGTTCCCAGTCATCCAAATCCTCTGTTTCTGTTGTTGTTGTTGCTGAGGAGGAGGAGGAGGAATGATGTGTCCTTAGATTTCATTCATAATAAGGACACAGGTGGCACTGTGGTCTAAACCACTGAGCCTCTTCTTGGGCTTGCTGATTAGAAGGTCGGTGGTTTGAATCCGCACAACGGGGTGAGCTTCCATTGCTCTGTCTGAGCTCCTGCCAACCTAGCAGTTTGAAAGCACACCAGTTCAAGTAGATAAATAGGTACCACTGTGGCAGGAAAGTAAACTGTGTTTCCATGCACTCTGGTTTCTGTCACGGCGTTCCGTTACACCAGAAGCGGTTTAGCCATGCTGGCCACATGACCTGGAAAGCTGTCTGTGGACAAACGCCGGCTCCCTGGGCCTGAGAGCAAGATGAGCATCGCAACCCCATAGTCTCCTTCGACTGGACTCAACTGTCCAGGGGTATTTTACCTTTCTTTTACCTACTAGGCAGAGGCTTTATGTTGCTGTTAATACCCTTTTTGCCTTTTTTCAATTGAACAAATTACATTTTTTATTATTTAATTGTTAAATTTGTATACTGCCCTATACCTGTAGATCTCAGGGCGGTTCACAACATAAAATTACAATATAAAACACCCACTAATAAAAATAAGAACAAAGACAACCTAATAATCCCCCCTTCCACAAGATGTCTAAAAGGGCATCAGATGTCCATCAACCAAAGGCCTGGTTAAAGAGCTGCCGAACATCCACATGACTAGTCCACCACCCTCCTCCATTCCTGGCTATGCTTAGTTGTACTGTTGTCCAAATCCATATTCCCTTTGCACCCTTCTCACCCTAAGCTCTGTTTGCTTTAGCTTAAGGAAGGTGCTGAAGATCCATTTGCCAGACCCTGCTGAGTTCTTCCCATCTCTCACTGCTGTCCATGGAGGAGATATCCAGGTAAGGTGGACTTGGAGGTTGAGGGGGTAAGGAGATGGAGGACAAGACTGCTGCCTGTAATTTGGGATGGATAGTTTTTGCTTATCTTAAGCTTCTCATTTATCCAACCTTAAGTGCAGCTTGCAGCATTTCACTTTGCATGTTTTTTTGTGTGGCGCAGCAAAGACTCTCAATCCCTCCTATTGTAGTATTTGTATTCAATCTGATTTTTGTCTGTCTGAAAGTTGCTATTGGTAAATTTAGACAAGTCATAATCCACACAAATACTGTATATCTGTGGTAGGGATTAATCCATCAATTTCATTTTTTTTTCTCAGTTTCATATTTTTCCAGTCTTATGTTGAGTTTGCCACATTGGTGCTATTGAAAAAATAGCCATTGCAAAAAATAATAATAGTGTGCATCTCTCCTGATATACTGACGGTTATGTCCAATTTCCCTTAATTTAATGTGCATGGAGAACTGCATCTCAAAATTCAGAGAAGTGTGAATGTTGAAGGAGGGAGCTGCTTTTCAGCCCACATGTTGTTTCAAGGAAGTGCAAATTTGGTAGAGTCATGTGAAAATGCAAACTGAAACACATTTCTTCCCCTCCAGTTTTAGCCCTTATTCTAAGTAGCATGACCAAAGTCGTTGCTATTATTTATTTGTTGACATATTTTTAAACCACCCTGCATCAGTTAGAAATCAGGATGTTATACAAAAAGAGACGGCTCACCTGTCAAAATGGGTCCTGCCAACTGGATCCAGTTCCCCAGCCCTAGATTAAAGATCAGGGGAAGCTATTCTGTATGAGTTCAATTTATTAAACTACGTGAATGGAACACTCGCCAACTTCTGCTTGTTTCTTTGATGGTGGCATCGCAGCTGTTTGAACATTACCCTTTGTTTTCTTTGTGTGCTTCCCCACTAAAACCAACAGAAGTGGCTCTCCTCACCAGCGCCCATGTCTTCCTTCTACCTGGCTGCAGCAGTTCCAGATGTTTCTGTGCTTGAGGTGATGCAGAAAGGCAGTCAAGAGCCTTGCCTCCTCCTTCCCAAGGAACATCCTACTAATACGGACGCACCAGAGACTAGTGGACATTCTTCATCCAGCTGCTTTACCAACCGGGGCTATTTTTTCTTCCACACCGATGATTCCCTCGAGATTGAGCCCTGCAAGGTCTATTTCACCTACGACCCTCTTACTCAAGAGATCAGTGGCAGCGAGGACAGCGACCCTGACTCCTACAAAGTGCTCCATGAAACTTGGGACAACCGGTCGCCACCACCTGCCTACAGCATCACGGCAGACCAGGAGAGTGAGTCTTTTCTGCAAGAAGCAAAGGTCCCAAACCAGAAGGTGGGAGGTTGTCCAAGGACTCTTCCATCAGCAGAGAGCTTTCCCGTGACATCAGAAGTGAAAGAGGGTGAGAACAAAGAAGGGAGTGAGGCCATTGTTCACCCCAACAAATCTCCGGAAAAGTATTCCATGGACTTTTCATGTGTCTGGGAGCCGTCTGGCAGCAATACTGATGGAACAGAAGCAATTGGAAGGGTAGACCCTTCTACAGGCTCTGTGGAAGACAATGGGCCTGCATTTCCCCAGCCTATGATTCAGAACTCAGGCCAAGCCAATGATCTCTGCAGAGCCGCATCTTCCAGCCAGGTGCTGAGTTCTTCGGAGGCCTACCTGACCCTGAGGGATCTTCAGGGCCATTATGGCCATCACTCGGTCTGAACTCTGAACCGGCCCTGAAAGCAAGAAAGCATCAACACCATAAGTTAAACGTCATCAAAGAAAATGAAAGGGAACATAAGGCTTTTAACAGGCAATGGGACTTACATTTTATCTCTCCTCTCCCCCTCTCATTATGCAATAGTGACCCCCACCCTGTAGTATTGGGAAGCCAGGAGAGCAACAGAGCCCCACCCTTACTGCCTCACTGGATGCTACTGAAGTATAAGGAGAGGGTTTTGAGGTGCTGTAAGGGGTGGGTTTAGGGGGGGCTAGCTGTAAGGGGGAGGGGGTTGGTGAGTTATAAGGGGGCAGTGAGCAAAGAGGGCAGGGGACAGCCCCTAGTAGCTAATGAAAATGGTAATAGGAACCAGATTTATGACACAGGGTGGGAAGCATATGGCTGCATTTTATCTTGAAAGTGGTTACCCAGAAACTTATAAATGGAGCCCATTGCCATCTGTTAATCCATTTTCTTGAATAAATTCTTGAATTTTGGGAGCATGTGATATGTCACTATGGCATGTCTTTCCCACAGAAACCTCTGCTTTCTCCACGTGGTACAACCTACTGTGGATAACATGGACAATGGCATTCTTGTGCCCATTTGGTAGCAAAGATCCTACCTCGGTACAGTGGTACCTTGGTTCTCGAACTCAATCCGTTCTGGAAGTCCGTTCGATTTCCAAAACATTTGCAAACCAAGGCGTGGCTTCTGATTGGCTGATGGGCCCCAGAAACAATGCCAACAACCAAAACGGACATTCAACTTCCAAAAAATGTTCACAAACCGGAACGCTTATTTCTGGGTTTGCAGCATTCAGGAGCCAATTTGTTTGGAAACCAAGCAGTTTGGGAACCAAGGTACAAGGTAGTGAATTGTTGTCTACAGGTCTAAAAGAATCCTATAAGTCTATGAAGCTCCAGTAGAACAGCACATGCCCAGTAAATTGTTGCTCAAGGATGTAACTGAAAATTTTCTGGTGCTTTTTATTATATGGGTTTATACCTTATTGCTACTACGAAAGAATCTGATGCACTGAAGATGTGAGGTGCATTACCTTCTGCTGGTCTATAAAATCTTCTGTAATTCCATATGTTAAAAACAGATGAACATAGTTTACTGAAGTCATTGCAGCATTTTAGCTAAGAGTATTGAGTTGTATTTGAGTAGACCCACTGAAATGAATGAACCTAAGTTTGTCGTGTGTATTAAGTGGGTCTTCTCTGAGTAGGACTAGCATGGGATACAACCCATTATTTGTATCTCGGCTGGTTGTTTTAAATTGCTTTCAATGTTTGATTAATTGGGGTTATCTTTCTTTTTGCAATTTAAGCTTCGTTACAGCAAAGGGAAAGGGCTTACTTCTAGCAATAACTTGTCTTTCAAAATACGGCGACTTTGAAAGAATCCCAATTTCACCCCAATTGTTGATTTTAAATTTTCCCTTGTTGGATGTGCATATGCCATTGATGTTCATTATAACAAGATCCCAAAATTTAATGAGCCATTCTCTTAGATGTAGGGCATCTTTTGCAGCAGTCAGCATATTGCGGTTGTGCTACCAGGACCGTGTGAAAGAGTAATGTTCCTTTGTCTCTAGGCACTGCTTCCTTTTTTAAAAAAAAACCCTTTAGGGTTTAGAGGCAAATGAAGGTCCAGAATCTTCTTGAACATCTACAGAATGTGGATCCGGTAGCTTCTTGCTCAGAATGTAGTTTGGGGGGTGTACTTTTAGTTGTATAGCTTTATACCTGGAGGTTGCTACAAGACAGCACTATGGGCTACAAATGTGAGGCAGAAATTCCATAGATTAAAAGTTTTGTTAAGCTTACGCAGATGCATGTTGAATATTGCAAAGCATACGCAGACTGTCCAGAAGCAGTCAGTTGCAAGCTGGCAGGATGAAGCAGGAACAAGACGCTGCTACTAGTAACTTGGTTACTTAGAGGTTTATTACTTACAGCAGACTCACAAGTTACTATATACAAGATACAGACACGGATCTTAACTCTCTCTCTGAACAAACTCCAACTAACTCTCAAACAACCACTGACCAACCAACACAGGAAAGTCATGAGTCACCATGCCTATATGGGTGACCTTATCCAATAGCAGAGTTGTATCCAAGGTTCCATATCACTAGGCAGAATAGCTCCCCCTGCTCAGTCTTTCTGGCCTTCAGCCTACTCCTTAATTGCTTCTGTGGGAAGCTGCATGTAGGCAAAGTCCCAACACCCCCTCACAGCTTCCCACAAGGTCGCTTAACTGGCCCACTCAGTCAGCTCCCGTGAGCCGCACTAAACCAGTGCAGAGCAGAGCAGGGACCACCTTCTGCGGTGCTGGCCAGTTTCTCATTGGCTGCAGGAAGCTCTTGCAGCCAATGGGAAGCTGCGCACGCCTCCTCCGCGCTGGAAGGAGCGTCAGAAATAGCATTTGCGCATGTGTGCGTACACACACACACACACACTCCAGCCCACCGTGGCATCTGCAGGACCATGAACCAGCCCAAGCCACAAAAACTTTGCCAGCCCCGGTGTATGTGATAAAGTGTAACCATACCAGGGTGAAGGCGTCTTCTTCTATTTGTCCCCGTGTCAGTTTCAGTTTGTTGTATTTTTAACCATTGTTGGAAGCTGCCCAGAGTGGCTGGGGAAACCCAGCCAGATGGGTGGGGTACAAATAATAAATTATTATTGGTGGTGGTGGTGGTTGAAACACCAGAGAGTTACCTGGCTGAGGCTGCATTTCTAAATGTACTTACTAAGGAGTAAGCTCCGTTGGATACAGCAGGATTTACTTTTGAGTAAATATGCACAGAACTGCACTGCGGAGCAGACCTGGCCCTAATCATGGGCAGACTAATCCTATGCATGCTTGCTCTGAGGTAAGTCCCATTTGACTTCAAATGGCACTTTCCCCCCACAGAGGAAGCTGCCATATCAGATCAGACCCTTAGTCCATCTAGCTCCCTATGACTGGCAGTGGCTCTCCAGTATTTGCTACAGAGGGTCTTTCCTTTTCTCTTTTTTGCATGCAAGGCTCCACCACTGAGTTTCAGTCTCTTCCTCTTGACCTTTGGGTCCAGACACGAAGCTGAATGAGTCAAACGACTACAGTTGAAGTGATTCAAAGGTTGATGATTCAATTTAAGAACATGACACTGTAATCGAAACAAAGGCATTTAGTCACTTTTATTTTTACTGCCGATGAAGTGTAGTTTCTTGTAGTTTCTTAACAGCCTGTAAATCTTACTTCTGTTTTTCGCTCTCTTCATTATAGTGCTTTTGATGTACTGTGCTGATTATTTTGATGGTTACGCTCTTAGTTACTTTGAGTTCCTTTTACAGAAGAAAAGCAAACTGGAGAATATTCTAAATGCACTTACAACGGGACCATGCGTGCATGCTCTTCCATGTTTGAATACAGGAAACATTTTCACAGCAAAAGCCAATCTAATTTCCCATTTCAACTGGAATATTCTAGTGATGTCGCTCTGCCTTGCAGGACAAAATATCCCTCTTTCATTTGATTATGATAAGATTATTACAGAGCAGAACAGCTTATAGCCTGTGCCAGTGAAAAATCATCTTAATTGATATAGCCCATTCCATTGTTTCCCTTGCTTGAGGAAATAATCACATAATTAACAGAGATGATGGGTGAATCATCTCACATAAATAGATACAGATCTGCACCTGTGCCTGAAACCAAAACCAAATTATTTACTTCAAAGCATTAAATATTCAATTAACATTTGACATGCTTTCTCCCTGCTTTGAGGAACACATACTACCATCACCATGATGCAGCACATAGATACTACTTTTACCATGATGCAGTGGAAGGGTAGATGGCAAAAGACTACCCTGGCGTGGCTGCTGTGATGGCCATTTTCAGTGATTGCAATGCATTCTTTTTTCTTCTTCATCGTCTCTTTCTTCACTTGTGACAAGAATCAAGAAATATCAGAAAATGAATTCCTTCCACTTAAAATTTTCCAGAAATATCTAAGGATGGAATGAGCATTTAAGGAACCTCTCCAGTATTCTTTTTTTTTTTTTCATTTAAAAACAGAAAGAAATGTGCTTATATTAAATGTGCTGCAGTTAGGATTTTAGATCGTAAGCTCCTTGGGGCAAAAACTTGTCCTCTGTAAGGCAATATGCATGCCAATGGCACCTTCTCTCTCCCTCTCATAACTTTTAATTCTATTGATCATATAGGAAAGCCAAAACATCTACATAGTTATATTAGATGCCTGTTACATAAAATTTTGTCAGGCGAGGGAGAATTTATTGGGTGTGAATCTTATGATGGGGAAAATATTGCACCAAAGAGTTTGTCCTGGTTATAGAACAGGAAACCACAAAATACCAACGCATTTCTGTGCTGCCACCTCTGCAGCCGTGCATTGGTGGGTGGTTCGCCTGTTAATATTGTGCTTGCCACAGTGTGAGGCTAACCTCAGTTGTTTCCTATACTGTTTGTTCTAAAAACAGGAAGTGTGTGTCAACACATTTAATTTTTGACGGTACTGATCTAATAACAAGCACACACTGTGTACAGACAGGTTTGTTTGTTTGCTTGCTTGCTTGCTTGCTTCCCATTATCAATAATTGGTTGGCTAGAATGCCAAACCATAGTTCAGCACAGGGCCAGATTTAGGTTTGATGAGGCCCTAAGCTACTGAAGGTAATGGGGGCCTTTATATGTCCAGCTGTCCTTTGTCAACAACAAATTGTCACTGTTTTTTGTGTTGAATATATGCTATATGGTTATGTATGTACCCAATAGGTATCTAAAGCCATTTGCGCATAACAAAATATGTATTTTATCAAAGTAATTATTGAACTGAAATACAATTAAGAAAAAGTATATTAATAGTGAAATTAGGGCCCCACTCTCTTGCCCCCCCCCAAGTAGTAGTAGTAGTAGTAGTAATTTATTATTTATACTCCGCCCATCTGGCTGGGTTTCCCCAACCACTCCGGGCAGCTTCCAACAAAATATTAAAATACAATAGTCTATTAAACATTAAAAGCTTCCCTAAACAGGGCTGCCTTCAGATGTCTTCTAAAAGTCTGGTAGTTGTTTTTCTCTTTGACATCTGGTGGGAGGGCATTCCACAGGGTGGGTGCCACTGCCGAGAAGGCCCTCTGCCTGGTTCCCTGTAACTTGGCTTCTCGCAATGAAGGAACCGCCAGAAGGCCCTCAGCACTGGACCTCAGTGTCCAGGCAGAATTATAGGGGTGGAGACGCACCTTCAGGTATACTGGACCGAGGCCGTATACCTATAGCTTGTTTAGCTTATACGTAAATCCGGCAGTGGGCATTCATTTGCACACTAGAGGTGATAAAAAGAACCATTGATCATATCTTAGTGGAGTTCTTTAATAACCCTGTAGGGGGCTTACCTCTCTCTCAGCTGTAAAGTTGACTGTGATATTGGGCCATTCAGTCTCTCAGAGATGTTGCATGGATAAAATGAGGGAGCGGGGATCAATGTGTGCTACCCTAAGCTCCTCAGAGGAACAATGGGATGCAAATGTAACAAATAATAAAATTCCTGTATTCAAACAAGATTGCATTTATTGTGCTAATTTCAGAACGGTTGGTTAGAGGGCAGCTCTCACATGCCACACTGTATCTTACGATGCTTGCGATATAATGGCTGGAAATCCATTTTGACTCTCTTGGCTCTCCTCAAAGGGGAGCTACTACCCCGCTTCACAAAACAATTCCTTTCAGGATGCTTTGCTTGGGAGCCATGGAAGTGAAACGGACTTGGCACTAGGGTTAAGTGAAGAGATTCACTTAGCTTCTCATTTTTCTCGTCTCTCCATATTTCCACATCAGTTTGCAATTTTCTAAAAAACACACCCTCATAAAAATTCATCATCTCTCCTAATGTACACATTTTTGAAAAGCAATTTCCCCTAACATAAAGCATTTCTGTGGTTTTTTCACTAATATGTTCCATTTTCATGCACGCTCTCCCCTGGGATGGGTGTTTGTGTACGCATTACTTGGCTGAAGAACTGCTTTGCAAAATTCAGATACGTGTGAATTTCAACGGAAGCCTGGGTTCCGATTTGCATATTGTTTCAGAAAATGTGAGTTTGGTAAGTTTGTATTTAATTGCAGACTGAATCAAATTTGTCCCCCATCCATACTTAGAACTGAATGAAAAGTAGCTGTGTCAACAGTCACAGTTTGGGAGATTTGTCATCACTTTGCTTCAGGGGAGGGGAACTTCCGGCCCTGGGACCAAAGTAGGTGGTGAGCCAGGGGACCTTTGAAGATTATGCCTAATGGCTGAATAATGCATTAAATTCAGTAAATATAGCACATTCCCTAAGGCCGGTTAGGGATTATGCACAAAGTGCATATGTACAAAGTTCAGCTGAGACATGCTCATTCCCCAAGGAGTATTGTAGGTTGTATATATTGACCGGGAAATGTGCAGAATTCCCTCTTAATGGGACTATGATGCATGCATTTTCCATGAGGCCTGGTGAATGTGCACAATGTCCAGTTTTTATGCACATTAACTGCTCAGCTTATATTCCCCTTAAGGCATAAACTCCTGCTACAAGTAAGTGCTATGCTTCTGCTTGGTTAATAGTACCCAATGCATCAGGGATATGGGCTAAAAGGCAACACTATACAGATCCCACAGAAGTAGAGTCAGGTGCCTGATGTTATCTACTCTTAATGCCAGCTTTGTCAGCTAAACATGCCAGAGCCTGAAACTTCTGCTTGAAAAAGGAATGATCTACAGCTGGCCTTCCTTTCCAGGAAGCCGAAAGGTCTGGCATGGAAGACCTTGGGACTGTGGTGTTTCAGCACTGCCGTTTACTACACACAGTCTCCAAGGAAAGGAGTGCTTGCAGAATGTCCATTTGCCCTCCTTGGGTGGGCGGCTTTGCGGGCAGGCACTGCATCTGCTCTGTGAACTGGCCTATTGCTGGCCCAATCATACTCCTGCCGCCAAATTGGCCAATGGCAGCAGGAATCTACGGGGCGTTCCCCTGGGCATGGTGCCAACTGATCTGTAGCAGCGCTCGGCATCGTATCCAGAGGAAGGATAAATACCCGGTTGGCAGGGCCTTTTGGAGACATTGTTGGAGCCCTGCTAGCTTGAATCAGGCATAGAAGCAGGCCAATCGTGCTATTGGTCGCAGGGTGGAGCGTTGCAATGGCCGGGTGATTCATCACCCAGACATCAATGTTAATCAGGAGGTGCTTTTCCACCGAGGTGGGGTCCACCTCTCAGATGCTGACAATAATATCTGGCTATGCAATATAGTGGAGGGCACTGAGTGTTGGTTGCAGGTGTGAGTGCTTTGGCAGCGAGCCAATAATGCCTCGATTGGTGTTAAGGTATGGGTAAGCCAAGTCTTGGTTGGAGGGGAGGTTGTAGCCTCTGCCTGCCCCTCCACAGGTAAGGGCATCCTGTTAAAAGGATCCAGGAGGAGTGGCTCCTGTCCAATGCCCACGTAGGGGCATACCACTCCTCCAATGTGGACCACTTGGGGGATGCCCTGATTTGATGTAGGTCATAGGGCATCCCCCGCCCCAAGCTGGCTTCACCCTTAGAAACACTCCCAGTTGCTTAC